ACACTGATCAACACAACTGGGACACAAGGTCACGCATCAACCAAGACTGACCTCGACCATGCTACCCTTTCTGGTCAGCTCTTACCACAAGTACAGTATGTTGGGGACCTTTTCTCACCCGAAATACCCATAGGGTCCTTCAGACAACCAAAGTATGCGAGGCAGGGTGTTTTACAGTGGAGGGGTTGCAAGTATCAAATAATGGATTCTCTCTGGCTGATCATGATGAAAATGAAGTCGATGGATGACTTGAGGCAGTATAGTCTGTTTGCAGTGAAAACGTACCGATGAATTTCACTTTAAACAAAAAAATAAAAATCAAATAAAGTGAAATTAAGATTGCGAATCCTCATAAGTTTACCCTGCCAATTAAACATATTAATTTCAGAATTTTATTCAACTTAGGATAAAAGTTGTTTAACAGATGATCATAGATTCAAATCACTATTATTGGTTTGTATTACAAGGGAGTAAACACAGTAAATGGAACAGTGATACAAATGCACGTGCACTACGTGATAAGCGTTAACTTAGACCAACCCTACATGTTCTTAGTGTTTCATTTAATGTGCATACCCCCTTGTAATACAAACCAACAATAGTGATTTGAAACTATGATTGTTTGTTAATATAGCGGCCATAAAATTTCTGAGTCCCGTGCTGGGATTCGAACCACGGACCTTCTGATCAGAAGTCGGATGCCTTGTCCACATGACCAAAGAGGTTAACCCTGTCAGCAAGCTGACAAGGTAAGGACGTCATCTGTGGGATGACTCCACGCCCTGCTACATACTCCCCCGTCAACAGAAGGCACGTCCCGAGCCCCATAGTTGGGTACTGAGACTTATTTTGCTCAAATTTGATATGAACGTGCTCAGCCCCACGTTGGGGTCCAATGAAGCGGCCATAAAATTTCTGAGTCCCGTGCTGGGATTCGAACCACAGACCTTCTGATCAGAAGTCGGACGCCTTGTCCACATGACCAAAGAGGTTAACCCCGTCAGCTAGCCGACAAGGTAAGGATGTAATCTGTGGGATGACTCCATGGTAAAATCATGAGGATTCGTACTTCTAATTTCACTTTATTTGATTTACGATTTTGTTCAAAGTGAAATTCATCGGTATGTTGTCATGGCAAACAGACCGTAGGTGTTGTGGTCATTGTCATACAGGTAGGGAGGGTGGATAGTGTTCAGGCAGCTCAAATCAGGAAATTGTATGAAAGTTTAAAGCAGAATCCACTGAGCATGGACTTTACTGAGGTGAATTTTGTCCTGAGACATGAACTTATACTCTTAAAAAACGTACGGCAACTTCATTTTTAAGTTACGATTGAAAAAATTGGGAGATATATCAGAGTCAATCAATGTTGATATGATTATAATGAACGTTTTGAGAGTGCATCACCACTTGCACTTCCTTATGACCATAGTTGTTTGTACAGTAATCTCCCTTGAAAAATGATTGGTGTATGAAGTGAAATTTGCATGTGAACGATTTTCATTTTCAAACAAAAAAGCAATGGCTAGATGCAAGATGACTGTCAAAGTTAATGGTCAACAGTGATTTATCGACCTTCTTGAAAAACGTCAAAATCAAGAAAGACATCCAATGCAAGTGTATGGGGCTACTGCATTGTGCACGTGCATCCCATGCGATGTGTTTAGGGGTGATGATAAAGAGAAATGGTGGTGCGTTCATAAAAAGTCTGTCTCTGAAAAGTTTGTAAGACTTCTACTTCCTATCCAAGATTGAAAGTTCAGGTTTCCCTACTTTTTAGGAAGAGCATATCATGATTATTAGGATACCACCAAGAGCTCCAGACAATCTGCATGTACACTGAGAATATTATGTTAAGAGTCTGACACATATTAACAGGGCGGTGGAGTAGCCTCGTGGTTAAAAAGTTCGCTTGTCATGGCAAATACCTGGGTTTAAATCCCCATATCAGGTGTGGAAATAACTTTATAATTGCTAGTGTACTCTGGTACAGTGGCACATGTAAAATCACTTGCCCTGATAATTTGTCCACTATACCAGCTGTTTTCTCGTTGATTTTTTACATAAAGAACATAATTAACGTTGGAAAGTCAACTGGACACCGGTACAGTGTTGTATACAAATTTGCTTGCCCGACAGAAAAAAACACTGGACTCGGGCGTTGGGCCATGGGTTATTTCCACCCCTGCATATGTGTGTGAAGCCCATTTCCCAGGTGTCAATTGCTGGAATATTGCTAAAAGCAGAATAAAACTACACTCACTCACTCACTCATAACAATTGGCTGATGACAACAGGTGTGAAGCAGAAAGACAGAGACAGATTTTCAGATGAGTTTAAGGACCGTTTACAATTTATGGCTAGGGGGTGATGATGATTATAAGGGTGGGTTGTGTAGGGGGGTTGGATTCACCCATTTTGTTCTGGGGAGGTGTGTGTGTGGGGGGGTAATCAGTTTTGTACACATGTACTAGGGGGTGTCAGTCAATGATGTTGTACAGGACATGTTTGTTTAATATTGCATACAGAACAATGCTTTCCTACACACACACACACACACACACACCAGCCATAATTAATGAACAGTCCCTTACACCCTTCATCTTACAGGATGCAGCGAAACAGACTTCAATAAGTAGGTAGTAACTAAGGAAAGGTTATGTTATAGATAATACGGTTACTATGGTAACATAATGCTTTCCCCCCTTCCTTGGGAACACATATTGAGGAAGGCTTCTCACTAATAAGTGTCACTCTGTACCAACAACGTTTTGTTGTGTCACAAAATGTATGTCACTACCAGACCACCACCCTAAAACCTTCAAATATTTAGTGTGTGTGAGTGAGTATGGTTTTACACCACTTCTTAGCAATATTCCAGCAACATCACGGCGGGGGACACCAGAAATTGGCTTCACGCATTGTACCCATGTGGGGCATTGAACCCAGGTCTTCGTCTTGGCGTGACGAGCGAACGCTTTAACCACTAGGCTACCCCACCAGCCCTTTAAACTCAAAAGATTAGGAGACAGAAAACATGTTATGTACAGTCTAACTACATCATAATGCCATTCATATACATGAACATTTCATTGTTTAATATTGCATAACTTCAACGGATCACTTCATTATGATGCCATCTACATACAGGGTCACTCTATTATAATGGCATTCATAGACAAAACACTTCTTTTCAAAGCTGTCCTTATATGAGGGACCTTCAACTTATTGCAATATAAACAGGACCATATTTTTTATAATACCATACATTTACACGGATCCTTAATCATAATGCCATCTGTATACAGAGGTACTTTGTTGTAATGCCAACTGTTTACATGGACACTTCATTAATAATGCCAACTGTATACAAGGACACTTCATTATAATGCCAACTGTATACAGGTACACTTCATTATAATGCCATCTGTTTACATGGACACTTCATTATTATGCCATCTGTTTACATGGACACTTCATTATAATACCATATGTTTACATGGACACTTCATTATAATACCATATGTTAACATGGACACTACATTATAATGCCATCTATATACATGGACACTTCATTATAATGCCATCTGTTTACATGGACACTTCATTATAATACCATATGTTAACATGGACACTACATTATAATGCCATCTATATACATGGACACTTCATTATAATGCCATCTGTTTACATGGACACTTCATTATAATACCATATGTTTACATGGACACTTCATTATAATACCATCTGTTTACATGGACACTACATTATAATGCCATCTATATACATGGACTCTTCATTATAATGCCATCTGTTTACATGGACACTTCATTATAATGCCATATGTTTACATGGACACATTATAATGCCATCTGTATACAAGGACACTTCATTATAATGCCATCTGTTTACATGGACACTTCATTATAATGTCATCTACATGCAAGGACACTTCATTATAATGCCATCCGTATATAAGGACACTTCATTATAATGCCATCTCCAAATATAGATACTTCATTAAAATGTTAGAAGAAATTATTACTACAACTCTTTATTGCAAAGGGAGTCTAGGCCAGCCACCAACTGTAAGTCCACAAACAATATTTATTACCTACGAGGATGAAAATATCAGGGTTCCTATTTTTCATACGATGCCCTAGGGCATAATATCACTTTGCCATGGTGACGTGATGTCATGAACAATGCTATGACGTCACATTTCTTCTGTGACGTTGCGTTCTGCATGCGGCAACGGCAGGTAGCCAGTCAATGTTTGAAAGTAGATTTGGGTTTATTTCCTCAATTTGACGACTTCGGTAATAAATAGAATATTATATTCGCGCCCATATCATACTACGTCTACAACAGTCGTGCCTGCATATTGGTACACCAACATTTAGGCACTCATGTCGTAAACATAGTATGACATGGGCACTCATATAACATCTTCTGTACATGGAATGCACATGTACTGCAGTAAGACCTAGGTCTGTGTATTGGCACATAAACTGTATTGCAATATTTGCGATTCAGGTAGCTATATTACAATTCATATATTGGGTGCCAAAGTGCTTGGCAGGGAGGTACAGATCCTATTTTGTACACACTAAGGCCCGAAAAGAAATGTTACATTTCTGATAACAGCTTTATCAAAATTATGAAGGGAAACATCAATTGTCAATGAAAGTCTGGGTAGGTTTCAACTAGTGATCATCACAAAACTTCATATATTTTATATATACAGTATACTTGTACTCAGACAAAATATTGTATATGTATCATTTGACTATGCAGTATTGCGCTATCTCAGTATATCGGTGGTACCAAAGAGACCTAGTAAGACTCACATGTGGAACACCTTGGTGTTCATGGACAACAAAATGTGTTTTACAGATCCATATTCTCAATCTCCAACAAAATTCCAACACTTTCAGGTCCTTATCTCCATTATGGATAGCCAAACATACATCTAGCCAATGAACAATCGCCATACTTACTGGTGTTCTTCCACTGTATAGGTTTCTCAATGTCGAGTGTGTCATCATCTTCAGTTAACCACGCCCACTCACTAATCCTGCGACTTTCGGCAATGATGCCTTTTTGTCGCAAAATGGAATTATGACTAGCACAGGCACCTTCACCATCTTTATCCGGGCTCTCAGTGTTTGTGGACGTACAATCCGATGTCGTAGAATATGCCGAACTACCCGTCCACCCAGATAAAGAGGAATCGCCCGACTCCAGACTCAAACGTCGGTCCAAGAAAGACGTTCGAGACTTAAAGTTTTCCACAAATTTTGCAATTTCGTCTTCAATTTCATGAAAACCAGGAGAAAGGGGAGGTAATTCAGGACTAGATACGGAGGAGGACATTATTGATTCATATAAAATATTCAAAAAGGGTGAAGGTTAGAAATAAATTGCATATCTTTCAGCAGTTATAAAAGTAATTGCATAAGATTTGTACCCGCTACATATTCATTGCATCCCAAAAAATATAATTAAATTAAGGAGAATGTAAAATAAAATTTCTTTTCAGAAATTATCTAGTCTAATATTTAATATATCTACAGCTAATTATGAAAATCGTTGAAAACTCCAATGAATGAAGGGTATACTCTAGAGCATTCAGAACAGTGTCGCACTATGACTGGATGAATCAACAAGTATGTTTTGATCGTTAACGATTATGCATCATGATGGAAAACAGAATCCGAGGAGAATCCCAAATCGGATAATGAAGTCACATGTCCTCTGCTAGATTTTCTCCTGAAATCCTAGATGGAAATGACTGTAGCTATCCAAAGCACATGTGTTGCGCTACATGAACATTTCCATGGCAACAGATGAACAACTCCTCATTTCTAAAACGTGAAATTTTCACAAGTAAAGTCATATTCCAAATAGCAGTCCCGCAAGCAGGGAATTGATTTCCAGGAAGAGTTACAAAATTAAGACGCTGTCGATCTTCAGTGAGAGAATTCGGAGGTAGATTGTGATATAAAACTCCTATAAACAATCATATAAGGCGGTAGAGCGCAGAAAACTGCGATGTCACACGGCCATGAACACTTGGTATTCTTGAACAGCTTTTGTTGTACGCTAGGAGGAATTCAATGCATCCTCACTGGTTCTGATACATTAAACATGAGAACGGTTCCACTTGAAATGCCAATTCTAATATTCCTGTTTCATGCCATTGCTGCCTACAACCAAACTCTTGACACAGATACTAGTGTAGTGACAACTAATTCCAATGCAATATCAACACCGACAGCCTCGTCCCAACAACTACCGATGTTTAAATATTGACAGAGCACTTGAGTTGCATCATGAAATACATCCACTAATTGCAGGAACAGTTTCAAATCGGTTGTAGTTACAATTCATGAAAATACAACACATGCTCCACAACAGGCTCGGTGAAACTGCACAAACCCCTTGATGCATAGATTTACAGCTGCCAAGCTTCAAAACTGATTAATAATGAAATAACGATGCAATCCCACTGAGCGTCAGTTCGACACAAGAAAGAAGACGCTTATTTTTTCCAGCTCGGTACGGAGGCTGTGAGATGGAGAAGAGCCAGTTGGGCACTGTGGCCTCGTTGCAATGTGGAACTGGAACTATTGATCAGAGATCGGTTCCAACATAGCATTTTCAGCCAAGGCATCAGCATCGTACATCCCAGGACAATTGGAGTAACACGACCCACTATTTAGGCTAATGTATACAAGTGTTTCGGTGACCTCAATACAAATGATGAGGTCCCTTCTTTGGGGAAAAGAAGCTCATTGTTTTGAGCGAGTGAGGGAAGGGGCAGATGGGTTTTAGAGGGAGGCCATGGAGTCTAACTGGGAAGGGGCTGGAGGAGAGTACAATCCTTTATCCTCATAGATAAGAAGATGACAGAAATTGATGTGAAAATAATTAGTTATATAATACTGACCATAAAGAAATACTGTGTAAATTACAAATTAGAAAATTACATATTCTGTGCTGGCATAATTTATAATTAATTATAAAGCTTTGGCACAAGCTAGTAACATAAGGCTGTGCCTTCGACTGATATTGATTTCAGATTAAATATTTAATCGCTTTCTTCATCATGGTTTTGTTTCTCTTTGTATTCATAAGTTGATATAAAACCAGCATTGAAAAATAATCAATTCTCAAAATGGGGTAAATTCATTATAGTATAGCAATTATAAGCCAAAACATTGTCAAATTAGTGTTTCAAATTCTTAGTGTTTTATGAAACAAAAATATGTTTCCTAATTTTTTCCAAAATGTCAATTTCAATAGTTCTTCAATCAATTTTGGTATTACTTCAAAATTTCAACATTTGTTTCCTCTGTAACATTTGGCCGAGTAAATATAATATACCCCCCAAAATATAAAGATTAAATTCATCATTAATAAAGAATGCCCCTGAATGTCTATCACTGGCTTATCTGGTCAAGACTTGATCATTCATGGTTCACAATCATACATATACACTATAAGAAAGTGGGGCAGCAAATAACAAATACAAAGTTTTACAACTATTTCCCTCAATGCCACAAGGGGGTGGAGGGGTAGTCCAGTGGTTAAAGCATTTGTTTGTCATGCTGAAGGCCTGGGTTCGATTCCCCACAAGGGCACAACGTGTGAAGCCCATTTTTGTTGTCTGTTCATAATTTATGGCTAGGGGGAAGTGTGTGTGTGATGATGATGATATTTAATTTTTTTGAGAAGTATGTACAATGTGAATGTTCCCCCAACCCCTAAAATTTGTGTACAAAGTGACCCCCCTGCATGTCATGTACAAAATCAATGACTCCCTCTCCCCTTGATATTTAAGTATGATTTTAAAATATGTTTCAGTACAAAATTGCTGACCCCCCTAGTACATGCGTACAAAATTGTGCTGCCTCCTCCTCCCCCAACACACACACACAACACCTCCCCAAAACTAAATGGGTTCCTCACCCTCCAAAAAATCATCATCACCCCCCTAGCCATGAATCATGGCCCTCTATATTGCCAACATGTACTGATACACAACAACTGTATACTCCCCAAGGAGTTGAGAATGGTAACTGGAATGCATCAATCCACCGTTCTGGGAACATATTAACCACATTTGAGCAGAAACCAACATATCTGGATAACTGCAGTATATATACATTTACAATACACACAAACCCCAAAATTCTAACAGCCTAAAAACAAACAAGCAGATATTTCACGCAAATGAGGAAACATTCCTAACATACATTTCCTGGTTGAGAAATGAGTACATGTCTCATTTAAATCTATGTGACCTGGTCACCATGACATTACAGGCATCACCTCATCATCATCATCATCATCATCATCATCATCATTATCATCATCATTCTTGCCATCATCATCATCATCATCATCATCATCATCATTATCATCATCATTCTTGCCATCATCATCATCATCATCATCATCATCATCATCATTCTTGCCATCATCATTATCATTGTCGTCATCACCATCATCATCATCATCATCATCATCATCATCATCATCATTCTTGCCATCATCATTATCATTGTCGACATCATCATCATCATTATCATCACCATCATCTGTTTACCTCAGTTAATCTCTGTTTCATTTCTAAAGTAAGTACATGTATCTTATTTAATCCAGTATGTAGTCATGAAATCTGCAATTTACATCAACCTGAGTCTTCAACAGGAGTCAAAGAAAGCTATAGTTTGTTTCAAGGGGTCAACGTGACCTAAACAAATGGCAAAAATACAACAATTTTCAAAAGCAAATAGCTGTATATTTAGCTCCAGGAACTTCTCAACAGCATAACCTTGGGCATTTGTCCATTCCGTTAACAGGTAATTTATAAATGTGTTCTCGGTCGTCTGAAATCTCTGGTTCCGCAATACTGAAATTTGGCTTGATGGCATGGAATTCCTCGATTCATCACTGTAAATAATGACCACATACTGGCATGCTAATTTTGTTTTATTCTCGCTAGGAGTGAAAAGATGAAACAGATGAATGTAATTGAAAGTCAGATACCAGAATTAATAAAGTGCAACTTCTACCCTAGTGATTACTGAATCGTTTGACGATTCTATCAAACAGTTATCAGAAAACAAATCAATTGTTTGAATCAATTTAATTAGGCAGAGTGTGAAGTAAAAAAATGCAAACCAGAAAATGTTTTGGAGTAAGTAGACCGCATCCTGCATGAAACAGGGTTGTAAATTGATTAATAAATTTATAAAATGGTTATTTCTGTGAGCAAGCACAATAATTATTCCTCGTAGCACAGTAACAGAGTTTGAGCGAGTGAGTATGGTTTTAGCAATAATCCGGCAATATCATGGTGGGGGACACCAGAAATTGGAGTGAGTGAATGAGTGACTTCAGTTTTACACCGCACTCAGCAGTATTCCAGCTATATGACGGCGGTCTGTAAATAATCGAGTCTGGACCAGACAATCCAATGATCAACAGCATGAGCATCGATCTGCGAAAGTGGGAACCGAGGACATGAGATAACCAAGCTAGTTAACCTGACCACCCGATCTCGTTTGTCGCCTCTTACAACAAGCATGGGTTGCTGAAGGTTCCTTTCTAATCCGGACTTTCACGGGTCCAGAAATTGGCTTCACATATTGTACCCATGTGGGAAATCAAACTTCGGTCTTCAGCATGAGCGAACCACTCAGCTACAGTTTGAAAGCCTCAGCAATGTAACTGAGTGACTGAGTGGGTATAGTTTTCAGCCGCCTTTAGCAATATTCTTGAAACATCAAGCCAGAGGCCACCCGAAGTTACTAAGGTTTCCCACATAGTTCCCGAGTGCGGAATCTAACCCAGGCCTTTCGTTGTGACAAGCCAACGCTTTACCACTGTGCTACTGAGTGTAGCATACATCAATCATATACCTTTCACACCTGGTAGGTAGGAGAGGTAGTCCAGTGGTTAAAGTGTTTACTCGTCATGCCAAAGACCCAGGTTCGATTCCACACATGGTTACATCACGCCTCATTCTGGTGTCCCCTGCTGTATTATTGCTAAAAGTGGCGTAAAACCAAACTCACTCACTAGCTCATACTTGGCAGCAATTTTAACCAGCCAATTCACTGACTGATGCTCACAGATGGTAGAACTGATTAGGGCTGCGTAATATAACCAGTTTACCTGTATTTATTGGTTCAGACAGGAAAACGATACGTATTGCGATACGCTGATTGAAAAACGATATTTTGACTTGCATTCGGAAAACGTTGTAACACTCGGAAATCTTCGGATATTTCCTTGTTTCATTTGTGCAAAATGTTATTCACATTTGTAATTTATCATGATTAAAAGTTGTTATTAAAGCTTAATCAAGCATAGTGATTTTGTTGTTTGTTCTGGTGTCCCCTGTCGTGATATTGCCGGAATATTGCTAAGAGTGGCGTGAAACCAAACTCACTTACTCACTCCAATGATGTAGTTCACCTAGCTTTCCCAATATGTCCATGGTACTTGGTCGGAGTAAAATTTGCGAACAGGTACATACAAAATGTGCCTTACTACTTCCTCATTCACTCACTCCTTCCTACTTCTTTCACTTTCTCCCTGCCTCCTTCCTTTTACATTCACTCCTTCCTCACTCACTCCTTCATTCACCCTCCTTCCTTCTTTCATTCTCTCCCTGCCTCCTTCCTTGCACTCATTTCTCATTCACTCACCCCTTCTTTCTTCATTTACTCTCTCCGTGCCTCCTTCTTCATTCACTCCTTCCAAGCTCACTCCTTCCTCCTTTCACTTTCTCCCAGGTCTCCTTCCCTTTTCATTCATACCTTCCTTGTTCACTCCTTCCTCGTTCATTCACTCCTTCCTTCTTCTTTCACTCTCTCCGTGCCTCCTTCCTCATTCACTCCTTCCAAGCTCACTCCCTCATTCACTCCTTCCAAGCTCACTCCTTCCTCATTCACTCACTCCTTTCACTTTTTCCAGGTCTCTCCCTTTCCATTCATACCTTCCTTGTTCCAAGCTCACTCCTCACTCCTTCCTTCTTCTTTTACTCCCTCCTCCTTCCTCATTCACTCCTTCCAAGCTCACTCCCTCATTCACTCCTTCCAAGCTCACTCCTTCCTCATTCACTCACTCCTTTCACTTTTTCCAGGTCTCCTTCCCTTTCCATTCATACCTTCCTTGTTCACTCCTTCCTCGTTCACTCACTCCTTCCTCGTTCACTCACTCCTTCCTTCCTCTTTCACTGTCTCCTTCCCATTTTCATTCACTCTCACTCACTCCTTTGTTCCTCACTCACTCCCCACCCATCTGCCCTCATTCCTGCCTTCCTTCCTCATTCAAACACTTACATTTACCAATTCACTCAATTAATTGACGCTGAAATGGCCGTTTTTGGCACGGGCTGCTACAGATATGTACCCGAGGTTCATTTCTGCATACAGCCTACTAGCCCAAATCAGACTACAGAAACGTAACCCAGGACGAGTCCATTCTGCATTGTGCTGTTCTCTTGATTGGAAGTTATGGAACTGTCAAACTGTTGTTTTAGATACAATTGATTGTG